ATCGCTCCGGTGGCAAGATCCTATTTCGTAGCCATACCTGTTAGGGGTTAGGGTTAGGGGGTAGGAGTTAGGGTTAGGGGTTAGGCTGAGACTTTCCTACTGCATGTACGCCTAAGAAATAAGATCCGACCTCTCCGGTTTTTATATGGGTGTGTCAATAATGAGGAGTCGAATGAGGATCATTCGAGTGCAGATTTTCTTTACGAGGATGGTATATTTCCTATGCGCTATTTCCCTCCACTCAGTGCCTTGCATTTTAATCCTTTAATCTGGATCTCAACAAGAATTTGCTTGTTCGTCGCCGCGAGATCGTTGGGATAAGGCAGCACATGTGCTGTGCTGATGGCCTTCGTGTACGCTCTGGTGCCATGTCATTTATTCGGCAAAAGCTCCGAGGACAGCTTTGTTTATTATCTGCCTCCGAAGACAGTGACGCAAAAGGGCACTCATCCAGTTCGAGATAGCTAAATTTTCCCTGCTCCAAATTAACTTTCGATGTTTGTTCCAACTCCAGCTGGTCACTTGGACGAATGATGGGCATTTCGGTGAAAACGCGAATAAGCTACCATTGCTCATTCTGATTTCTGCTGCATTTACTACTAATACTTCTCACATAAACATTCTTCCACGTAGACTCATTTGGTGCCAACATATATAAGTATCCGGCTGTTGTGGGTCTAGAACAAACTGGACGAGGTAACGACGCACTGCCCACTAGGCCGGTGGAAGTTTGGCATACCGACAGATGCACTCGGCTTAAGAAAGCTTTCACCGTGTTGATGAAGGCTAAATAAAACAGTAAGCTCGACATCGTGACTGCCAACTGGTGGAATGACGTGCGGATCAGAACTCCTGAATTGCTGTGTTTACCGGAGGGAAGAACAATATGTATTCTTACGTTGCGAATATGCTCGGATAAAGCAGTATGAGAAGCGGACTGTGGTGCTGGTTCTAGAAAGAGAAATTCATAATCGAACTGTCGATGCCCACTGGCACACCAGTTATTGTATTATCACTTAGACTAGACGAATAGTACTCGGAAATTAGCAGCTTAGACAACGTCGAGAAGGAAAGCAACGTATTGTCTATCCGCATCGCTGACGAGGAAGGAAAGAACTACAGGCATGGATGGCTCAGAAACGTCACTTATACCTCGTCGCAGGTACCAATCCGGACAGGCAAGCCAATATAAGCCGGACATGAGTGTCCAGAAAATCGTAAATTTGCACAACTAGCTATAGTAGCAGCAAGGTTGCGCAAGCGGTGCGGCCAATTTTATCCGCCCCGCTATCACCCAACACCTTTTTCGCGTTTCTTTTTCCCAAGATGGACACTAGACTAAACCGTCGAGAAAATCAGACACATGAATGTTGTTCCATCGACCTCTGCAGACAGCCTAGAATTAGTCCCGGTACTGTCTGCCTTTCTTCCTAAAAATATAATTTGCTTACTTCTTCGGGTTTCTTGTTAAACAGGAGAGCAGACTGAAAAATTTATAGCGAAAGATAACACAGCCCGCGTCAATAATGCAAAGTCGGAAATTACCAAAGCGAAGCCAGAGTCGTATGTCTTCGTAACATCTTAACGGTTGGTTTCCGCTTTGTAAAAAGTTTGCAGGCAAGTAGTGCCTTCCAACTTGCCTGTTGTAGGACATGGAAGATCAATCACGCGAAAAGGAGGCATTTCTAACGAGAACTTGGCCGGCTTTTGACTTCGGCTATCGTGAACCCGATATATGGGCATACCTGGGTTGTTCGCTTCAACTATGCAGTTTATTCATAGGCAGCTTTTTCATTTTCGCTTTTTTTGTCGGGAGACCAGTGTCACTGATTGAAACAGAAGACAATCTAAGGGCCGAAAGTCACCCGCTTAATCTGGTCAAGCCGCTCCCAAACGCCATCCTGAAAACGGTCACCAAGCTGGTTGCAGAGTATCGATCTGAGCATCTTGCTAGATGCCATTAACTTGATCTGATTACCTCACTCCGGCGCAAGTTGGTGACAGTGAAGAAGGAGGTTAACATCCAGGCGGTAACCACGACCTTCACTTGCCGAAAAACGTCTACAGTTTGCCATTGCTGCAAGAAAATTAGGTAAAATCAGTCCCAATGGTCCCAATGGTTGATATGCCGGTCATTTGATCATTAATAACGAGTTGTAGTGACACCGTAAACTTGCTTCCCCCTATTCACTTCCTACCCAGTGGCTGCACTTGTATTAATTTCTCAGTCCAGTTCAGGTGATGTAAGGGGAAATCGGCGAGCCCTTCACTTCCAGGAGGTGGAGTGTTTGACTGACAATGTGCGCTTGCAAGTTTCGCAGACAATCTAGTCTGGTCACCTAGAATGTAGCAAAAATCGTCCAACGAACACTTAAAATTTCCTCCAGTCTTCTTTCTCCCTCTCTAGCAAACGTTATTTTAGTCCTTATTTGAACTAATCCGTTCAGTCTACGAAATAGGCAACCAGTAACAGGCTAGTGATGCATCAAGACGGTAGCGTCAACGTCCGTTTATGTTGGGAAGAAAAGATGGCGACGTAAACGCTATGGTGTTCTAACTTGGCATATCCGCCCATTTGTTGACATTCTCATGTCATTCAGGAGCAAAAACAGCTTCTTTACGCCATTTATTCCTGAGTAAATATGAAAAAATCGGCTTACGGTTAGCGGAAAAGTCCGATATGTCGAAAAAACGTGATACCAGTCAACTCTCAGCACCGAAGCAAAGACCTCAAATTATGCCGGACTGACTAATTATAACCGGTAGCAACCATCTGCTGTGGGACACAGTTCAGTCGGCGTCGATACGGACGTTCTTGGCACGGCAGGAATATCACTGCTGACTCTTTTGCCTATGTCTATATTCTGAGAACACAGTACCCTACAGTTCTTAAAAGTCTAGGTTCTTTTACTTAGAGGTGCTTAAGGTTTGCTGCTTGTCGTCGATATTCACCAGTGATCTTGGAGATGTTAACAGGCGGTTGTGGGTGCTGGCCTCATCCCTTCAAAAACAATACCGGTAGGACTGACTTATGTGGACGTCTAAACAGGACATGAGGACAGGAACCACGGCAACGGTATAGAGAAAGACCCACTTAACTGTCAATAGACTGTGGATCGTGTCATATGGGGTTTTATCTTGACGTACATTTGCGGGCTGTTGCAAAAATTACACTGCTAACAACGGTTACTTCCCACGACCTCACACCTTAACTCAAAATCCGTCCTTTTGTGAAATTTACTTTTTATTTATCGTTTACTTACTACTCACATTTCCGTTGTTACACAATAGCGCAGAATAAGACTTTTGACATGAATTTAGGTAATTTTTGTGTTTTCTTTCATTTTATCAGCCTACTGTCTAGCGTGCTGCCCCACCCATAAAACTCTATTTACCATAAATCACGTATGGCACGATCCACTGTCTACTGACAGTTGAGTGAAGTCCCTTTCTACGCCGTTGTCGGAACCGCCTGCAACACGGGTGGCTGTAGGCCAGCTTCCAATGAAATTAGGGTTATGGTTAAGTTAAGAATTAGGCTTGAGGTTAGATTCAAGTCAACGGCAGCGTAAATCAGGACCAAGTTGAGGGTTAGGGTAGGGGATAGAGCTGGCTGCAGTTTAAGGGTTATGGTCCAGATTAGGGCAACAGCTTAGTTTTATATAAGGGTTATTGTTGGGCCTAGAACACGGGAATATTTTGCCGTTTCCAGAATTATACGCAGATCCATCTTTATAACTTGGGCGAGGCGTTCCTATTTCGATGTCCTGTTTACACGTCCACATAAGTCAGTCCTGCCAAAACACCTCATGCTTATAATGAGTAGGTTCAGATTCGACGGGGGCGGGTGACAAACTGGCGTGTTTTGTCGCTTTAAACGCTAGCTCCATTTGTAAGGAAGAACTCGTTTACCGGCTCATGCATTCTAAAATGTCAGTCAACCTGAGGTCTTAAGTAATCAGTAGTCGAAGAACATTAACTTCAATGTCAGGTTTGTTCTAATGGCTGCCACTGACTTATCTGTCACTGTCAGTCAGTCATACCCCACCTGCCTGTCGGAAAAACCTGAGGCTCGGACGAGGACCCAGTTAGTTGTGGTACTTGATCCCTACCGCTTAAACCATAGTCTCAGACCCTGTCGCTACCGTCGAAATACTTTAGTTCACTAGAAAGTGCTGCTCGCCGATCTGGCCCGAGTACAGGGGTCGAGTATGCGTTTCCGCTCTTACCTATGGCCAACCACTGAGCGAACATATTGCCTACAAAGTCGGATGGGCGAATTTCGACTCCCACTCAATTTTGGCAGTTTATTTGCAGAAAAGTAAACATGTCGCATTTGAATAAACCTTCCGTGGTTTCAAGCCTCCCCAAGACCTTTGTGATCCGGCAATTTCCAAATCCCCGATATCCGTTGCCGGATACAGCACATTTACTTATCGGTCGCAAAAAGTTAACTGAGAGTGCATACACTGCATGTGCGAAAATAAGGCTACGAACTTTTTACTTATGTGCAGCTGACAAACTTTGAGTCTTGATCCCAGACCAATGGTACAGGCATAAATACAGGATGAAAACAGACAGCACGCAGTAAGGGTAGGAGGAATTGCCGCAGGGCAGGGGGTGGGGGATAGGCTAGTTCAACTAATAGAAGATGGCGTTTCCCAGGATGCGTGGAATTCATGACCAACAGTGAAAACCCTGCAGCGCAAGCAGCCACTTTATTGACCACGTAGACGCGAGCGCACAGCGTCGTCGTTGATTGGGCCGCAAGTAAAGATATGCATATGCACAGCAACTACTAAGTCATGAACAGTAACATGATTTTGAACACCAGACAGCGATCAGAGAAGTGCTGCGCGGGCGGTACAATGTCATTGCCATAGTATTTCTGGAGGCACCGAGGCACAAAAGTTCGCTTGAAAGGCAAAGTTATGAACAGTGGACAAGCCGGTGTACGGCAGCCGCTCTGAGGGTCAGGGTTGGTGGGATGGGGCACGGAATCAACGGCCATACGCCAGAGTCTGATTCTGATACACCGGCCGCATCCGGGCTGGTGGAAGGCGACGATGCGTCAGTTGTGCAAACAAAAGATTCTGTGCATTGGCCTCCAGAAGACGGCCATGTAACACGGCGGCAGCAGCAGCTGCTGACAGTCCGTCAGCGGTCACGCCACCGGAAAGGTTTGAAATGGACAGAGCGGACGTGTCGAAACCGGCACCTGCATTGGAAAGATCTGCTCCCTCAAATAACGAGTTGCCCGCATAGCAGCCTGTCATAGCCTCCAGACTGGGGGGATTTCCAGTGCCCCCTTCGGTTAGATTAGGGGTGCTGGCGAGGCCTGACCTTGAAGCAGTGGCCTCAGAGGAATTCGTTTTGAGCTGCGGGCGAGATGGAGCACCACTCACCGGGATTGGTGGTAGTGGGGGCGCCTGGTTCGGCGTATGTTGTCGGGACTGCGGAGAATCATATGTCGGACAGTCGGAGTAGAGGGCGCCGTTAGCAATGGTGGGGTCATAGCTAGTATAGAGGAGGGGGTTGTGTGCAGTCGTAGTGGTGGCCGGAGTTGTGACGTTAGTCACCTGGCCATTTGTGTAAATCACATTTCCCAGGTCCTCCAGTGGACCAACAAAGGAGGCGATGTAGGAGGTAGCTGCAGTTGAGGAAACTAGCCCCGGATCTAGCATCTGATATGCCGGAGCTTTTCTGGGAGCGTTTGGCATGGGGATTTGATGATATGATTGCGTACTGGAAATCTCCCTCAGGAGTCCACGAACTTCCTTGGAGTTCCTTTTCCGATGCGTGAATAATAGACAGTAGCCGCAAAGGAAAAGTGACATTGTTGCTGTAAATGTCCCAATTACTGCTCCGATGAGCTCCAATATGGTAAATTGTTTCTGAAAGTAAGAAATGGAGAGGAGAAGGGAGATATTAAATATTTGATAAAGCAGGAGTTTGCTGAAAACGTTGAGTTTACAATAAAATTTTCACTAAGAGCAATTACAATGTTGACGTCGACTGGGCGTGATATTCCGAGTAAGTTAGCAGATACCTGACAGAACAGTGCAACTCGTTACCATCTACATGGTTAAAGGAACTTGCTTTAAAAACTACCAATATGAAAATGGCAAAATACTGTATGCATTTAAGATTTTTTAAGAGGAAATGAGAGCTCCTTCAAGTAATAACTTTACTTCGGTCTGGGGCCGGTGTTTTAAAAGGCAAATTCGAAATCGAAAGAAAACCATGAAGGAAGAAAAGTACGCATCTGCCATTGTTGCCATATCCGTTTTCTCAATCTAATATCTATGCGGACAGTGTCGCGAATGCTTTACTTATTCCCCCACAACCTCAAACTGAGTGGCTTGGCAATGATTCGTCGAGAACTAATGCACACCAAATTTTCCCTCGCAAAAATTGTGGGGATCTATTTGTCCGAGAACATCGAGGTTGTCTAACATCGCAAAGCATGGTTTGGAGCGGTCCCGCTCTCCAATAAGCCTGAACGGTGATTAATGAGTTTCTTCAGTAGTATTGGTTTCAGAATAGCAATGTGAAAGCTAGAACTAACGGTAAAAGTTTTCTCTTCAGTAACAGGGGTTGGTGTCTTGTTGACCGTGGTTAGCAACTTTGTGGCAGACTGCGTTTCTACCCATAATTCAGACACGCAATTAGACTAGGGCGAAATGAGGAGTGAGTCGTGTCGAGGCTGCGGGCTGACAAACCGCAGACGTGGTGCATATCCTCGTATCTGTGTTTGTGTGCCAGTGGATCGTACATGTGCGTGTAAGCTACAAAACCCCACGAGGACTAGGGGAAGCATAACCAGAGCTAGCTCTATCCCGTCAACCAGTCGGCAGTTCCGCAGGCGTCGGCCCAGAAAAGCAGAAGGAAAAGCCCCGAGTCCCCCACCCCGACAAAAGCTCAACAGCTTTCTCTCCCTCCTTCCCCCCCCCCCTCCACCTACCGACTCTCACACGCAAGCTTTCGGCAAAATCAGCCGAAGTGAGCTCGCACCTCCATTTTGTGTCCGTTTTGGCGCTTGCCTGCCGTTCCGTGCACTCAGCTCTCTAGTCGTCGAGAGGGCAATCCGGCATATTTCAGGTTGAATTGCAACCCTTTGGCGAAATGATCGTCCAGCGTCTGCGGCAGCAATAAAAATGGTCCCCAGTCAAGGTGAATAGAGAGATACAGGTACCAAAGACATACGGAGAATTCGCCTGCCGAACGTGACCTCTAGTTCCGTCCCGACCCTGATGAGATCATGTTCGCTTTAAGGTGCATAGGAATCCAGTGTGCGCGAAAACCGGAGTCTTCGAGGCGGCAGTAACAGTGGTAGCAGCGACAGTATTAGTATTTATGATGGCGGTGGTAATGGCTGTACATTGTCAAAAGGTCTGAAAGCGTGTGCTATGCCAGTATCAGCAAACCCTGGCCCTCGCAGCCTGGTGTTCGCCGACAGTTCTTTGGTAACTAATTCCCTGTCGGTGGATGTGTTTTCGCTCCCGTTGGGTGTACATGGGGTGGGCATGGCTATCCAGCCACCCTCGTCCTTCTGACCCCCTATTGGGGTGTTGTTGTTGTTGGAGAAAAATTCTGAGCAAGTGTATGTTGTGGACCAGGGGTGTGGTGGTAGGCCTAGGTGCGAGTCCGGTCGTGCCATCCACCTGCGCCCTCCTCCCCCCCCTCCGATCTTCTTGACTCTGCCTTCATACCAGGTCAAGGTGGAGGAGGGGAAGAGAGTGTGGTAGATTCTGAGCAAGTATACTATCACCATAAACTAATTCCCGCGCAAGTCATCGTGTCTGTCGCATCTTGCTGTGTAGCGCACGGTGAGCATCGTCGGAATCGACGGTCGAATTGTCTTATTGTCCCACATGGATGCAAAAGTGTTTAAACCGCCAGTCAAGATCAGTGTTTTCTTGCGTACACAACAAGCCCTCACGAAGGCGTAGGCGTCTACCCGTTAGAGAGGGGCCAGCTTAGCACAGCGTACCGGTGCTCTTTAACAAACACAGGGCAAGAGCAATAAGTATATTGCTAACCCTTCCCTTGTCAGTTGTAGAAATGAAGCTTTTCATATGGAAAACAGGAGTATGGGGAAGGCGGGGTAAAGAAGAAGGGACACGAAGGCAGTGAGGGAAGGAGGGAGGGAAAGGATAGTACTGTTATGGGCAGGAACATTAATAAATTTAACCCCTCCTCGCTGTGGACTATGAACCGAACTTGCTAAAATTGCAAATAGCTCACCAAATAAATGATCAAGAAGTAGGGCTAGTATTTGTTGATAATATGAGGTATTCATAGTCGAAATTGCAGGACGGTCGTCGGCAGTACCTTTACGGAATATGTCGTTATGAAACAAACATCACTTACATTCTGGAGTCATTAAAATCGGGGAGATGAACACATGAATAAAAATACAAGACTTTGTTGGTCGCAGCAATGAGAGGAAAACGAGACCCTGTGTGATAGGAATGAAAAGGGGGCCAAAAAACCGTGCTTTCTTCAGAAATAACCCGAATCCCACCTTAGTATTAAAAGGAAAGACACCAATCCTTAATGCACCGCTGTGCTTCTTGAAGGGGCTGCTGCCTCGCTTTTGAGCAAAATCCACATCGCGATCCTTTTCGTGATCGATTTATCGCCAAATCTCAAAGTGCGCGCCCAAATATGATCAGTCAGTCTGGGAATCTGGAAACTTTCCATTCAACTACTCCTTCCAGCGAGAGAGCAACATGTTCAGTAAGCACGTAGTGCTTTAGTCGAAAAATCCTCCTGTAATACGTTCACTTATGTGAGATGCGAGACTCCATCATTTGAAAATATTTTTTTTTCGGAAGCAGAGATAATCACGTATGCGATAGGCATAAAAGTGGCTTCAGTGGCTTCCTGCCAGCCCCCACCGCACCTGCAACCATCTTCATCCGTCCGGAGTCTGGCCCGCCATAAAAAGGGGGTGGGCGCGGGGACGGAGGGTGGGGTGGATGCCGCGCTGTCTTACTTCACCGCAAGCAGATCCGCGCAAGTCCCCGTTGGGTCTTTGGGCCAGCAGCTGTTCTCCTCTCTTGTCTGTGAAAAATGTATATTTATCCACTTGCTTACAAATGCACTGAGCTTTCCCAGGCATGCTATCTGACCATATGTATTACTTAGGTGAGATTGCGAGAGTGAGTAGTCTTTGTTTTGACAGCGAGCTTAGATGTGGGATGAGGAAAGAGTGCGCTAAATGGTGCGCGAATCTACTATCACCACAAACGAGTTGACGAGCAGGTCACCGTAGCTGCCCCAACAGTGCTGTGGGGCACACGGTGGACATCTTCGGAGTCGACGGTCGAACTGCCAGTCAATGATTATGCAAGAGTAAACTGACAAGTGAAATAATCTTCTTCCAGTTACCCTCGTACTCACTACGCCAGTAGAGTGATTTCCCCTTTTCAATTCTTGCTCAAACAAATTTATATTTTTAGAGCGAATGCACGAAGTTTACGGGAAATATGCATATTTCACGGGAAAATTTCTCTCCTCTAGAAGGGTATCTTGAGTAAAGAAGTTTTTCGGTTTTAAAAATCAGCCATTACCTGTTTATTTTAAAGGCCAGTCTGCGTTCTCCCTCGTTTGTGAAGACTACTTGAGGGACCAAAATGCCCCCTGATTCAAGTATAAATTTCAAAATACGCAATTTCCCCATTTATCTATACCAAAAAAGGCTTTTTCCTCATGTCTACAAACTGTGATTTATAAATTTGGACCTTGGAAAGATGCAAAATTAATTTTTGACGTTGCTTAGGTAACGGTTTCACTGGTGACAGGAGAGATGTCCATTCCATCTCCAGCATGCTAAAATCTAGATGACTTGCACTTTTGCAGCCCGCCAGTCAGGTTTAATTCCAACTTCTAAGCTGCACTTTCCCTTAAACATGCTTCTCGAAAATGTCGCCAAGTGTTGTGTCTATGTGTGCGTACTGCAAAAACGCGACTGTCCCAAACTAAGAAGACGACTGCAGCAGACGCAAGGGGAGTATGCCTGTTTGCACACCCATCCAAAGTGCTTTTATCTGTAGGAATAAAGGCTAAGAAATGGATCTCCAGGCACGTGTGAAATTAAGCGCAGGCGACGAAGATTTTTGCAGGAGGAATATACAACCAGCAACCAGGGCTTGAGACCGTAGTCGACGCGCAAAATGAATGCAGAACTAAGTGCAGAAAGTAGAATGGCAACTCTGAGAGGCGAGGGCTCAGATGGGATACCAATTTCGCCGTAATAAAACAGGGGCGTTCAAAATGAAGGGGAACTCAATTAGAATGAGTACGGAGGGCGAACCTGAGGAAGACCAGTAACAGCACAGTCTTTCTCTTTCAAACGTTTTCCAGCACCGATTGTCCTGTGTATTTCTGCACATGTTCTGTTCTTAGTGAACATCTCTGAAGACTAGGCTTCACCTGAGCGATTTGATGACGTGAAGCCTGCCTAGCTCATATATGAAGACGCTGAAATCAGCGAAATCTAGGCAGAGCCCACGCATGCTTATCGCGTACATGTGATTGGGATGTCTGAGACGGGGGGCGATTTTTACCGAACCGCTGTTTCTTAGACTTTTAAGACTCTAGTCTACTCACTAGTAAAAACACGTGCTGCATGAATGCCAGTGATACGCCGCAGAAAGTGATTCATAGACTGAAAGGGATGTGGGACTCCTTAGGTACTTGAGATGTTAGACGAAGTGTTAGACAAACCTCGAAGTGCTTAACACATGACTGTTGACAGCGGGCTTGCCTTTGGGCAAAACAGTGAAATTTCTGGTACCGAGGATCTTCCAACGGCATCTTGGTAGCATTCTAAGGCACCCATTATAATGCACTGAACGAGGGGGGAGGAGGAAGAGGAGCGTATCTAATTGTGACTTCTTTGAATATGACCTCCGTATCTGCATCTTTGAGATTTCAACTACTCGCCTAACAGAGTGTCACGCAAGAAAAAATCTAATTCCTCGTACGATGTGAATACTCATAAATAATAAAAGTAACAATAGGCGACTTTAATTTGGCTCTTCTAGCAAAATGTGTAATTACTGAGATGTTATATAACCCGCAAAAATTAATGATTAAGGACCCAGGCCAAGAAACAACCTGCGACAGGCAATTTAACCCAAAGTTCACTCGTTCTGCCCCGTGCCCTCAACTAATATCTGTCGTTTGACAACTAGACAACTGTACGTATTTCCGCTGGACGTGTTTACAAGGTTAGTTTATTTAGCCACAAAACGACTGTGCTAGGCCGAAAGTCTTGTTATAAAGATTGCGCATTCAGAGCAAAATAGTCTGTTCCGGCGTATGCACACAAGCTCAAAAACTATGAAGAAATATTTGTTCTCTCCCTCCCATCGAGATCCGTTGGGAAATAAATGTTTATTGTGAGCGACTTTTTAAGTTAGACAGTGTTAAAGTTTTTAGAATGGCCATGTAAATACTCCTCATGGGAGCTGTGGTTATCGCCTTCCCCTAGACACTGCGCATGCGCACGCAGTTGGTCCCATTGGCTTTGCAGAAGACCCAACCAGTAGCATGCAAGAGGTATTTCCAAGTTTTCCTTCGTAGAGTGCCGCACACTCTCAAAATATCAATTTATGAGCAAAATAGTCATCGCAGCCTTGCTCGTGTTCAAATAGAGGAATCTCACATTTCAACTATACGCCACTTTTACCGTGTCAGCATACTTAACAGTAGGTAAACTTTTGACCAAAATTGAACAGTATTTTTCCTAATTTTCTTCAACCCCAATATTTGGAGTCCTTGTTTGATTGTCCATTAATTATCTTACGGTGGTCTACTGGTGACGCTTATTCGAAAACTTCACAAGGCAGATCACGTTGCTCTTCGTCATCAAAAATATTTCGGGAACTTTTTGTCTGGATTCAATAAATTTACTTGCAAACAACCGCTGCTATCAGAGGGTCAGACCTTGAGATCTGTACGAGACTTAATTTCTTTAAAACTGGTTATTTTTAGACACCCGCCCTCCCAGATGCCGAACGAAAAACGGCCGAAGCCCAATGTTATACTTCTTTGATGAAAGTCTTTATCATGTCAGAATACTCGCCACGCCCACACAAACTCTTTCAGTCCCGTTCCTGGTAGGGTGGCCTGTGCCGCGAGGTTTTTTATTTGAATGCACGGTTTCGTCAGTAAGTGTCACTAGCAAGTGAGTAGATTTTATTCGTCAGAAATTAAAATTGTCATGCCTCTCTAACTCGCAAGGGCTAGAAAAACTAAGTTTCACAACCTGACGCCATTCAAAAAAGAGCATACTACCAACTCTGAAAGCGCTTACTCTGAAGAAGAAATCATCCATTCTCTCCGACTCCAGAGCTCGAAGTCGGGAGTCGTCATCAGCCTCTTCAACGTTCCCGTTTTCAGCTATTGCGACAGCCGTTCCTACAGAAGCACTACCCGCACCGACAACCTCTCGGAGGTTGAGCCAGGAGAGGGTTACATCCGCGCTAATGTTTCCGTAGGTGTCACTCCCAAAGCAGGTCAACTGATCGTCCTCCACCACACCCCCGGCGGGCGTCGGCTGATGAAGAACAATCTCCGCCACCCCGGGCGAAACAACCTGTGTGGCGAGGAGACTCTCTAGAAAGTCGGCACCCTGTTTGCTGTCACCACGTCGCGTTCGCCGGTACCAGCCGAGACGGAGTTCCGGTGAGCCCTGGGCGATGCACTTGAGGCGCGCAACAGCAGCCCCCGCTGACTCACTGATAGAATCTGTTGTCTGCTGGTGACCTTTAAGGTCCAGTTCAAGGGCCCGCAGTTGCGGTGGTGCACAGAAGAAATCCTCCTCCGTTAGAGCAATTAACTTTCTTTCATAGAGTCTATGTGGAGATGCACAAACTGGGTAGATCTCGGTAGACACTCTGAAGTCATCGTTAACAAGGGAGTTCTCAAACCCGACCGGAGCCGGAGGGATATCTTGCGCCTCATCTTGATGCTTTCGTTGGAGCATTTTCGACAACCACACAAGTTCACAGTCACAACGGAAGGGATTCTGGGAGAGTGAGAGGGCCTTGAGGGATAGGAAAAGAGGTTCGAGACGGGATTCGAGGGTAGTCAGGCTGTTTCCAGTCAGACGGAGGGTGGAGAGTGTGCCAGTTCGAATCAGAGGTTCAAGGTCTTTGAAGGTCAGACTGCGAAGATTACAGTTCTGAATTGAAAGGGAAGAAACTGAGAGGTTTTCAAAGGCCCCTGGAGACAAAGAAAGACCCAAATTGTCATCCAGCCGAAGCAGTTCTAATCGTAAACCTGCAAAGGTCCGTCTGTGAATCCGTGAGAGGGCATTTTTAGAAACATCCAGTTTCGTGAGATTTGTGAGCCCCTGAAAAGTCTGCGGTTCAATGCCCTGAAGACCACAATCCATAATAGTAAGCTCCACGATATTAACACTCGACGTGGAATAGGAGGACAGATTTTGTCGTTGCAAGTACCGACTTTTGAATCGCTGTCCGATGAGGATGACCTTTCGAATGCCGGGAGGCAAGTCAGTTGGGACCATATGTAAACGTCCCGGCTCTTGGCAAGAAACAGATCCATACAGACATCCCTCACAAACCCTGCAAACTTCGGAAGAGGAAATGGAGTATACGAGCATCCAATGTTTTGTTGAAAGGTAAATCCACAAGACGACCCACAGATGCGTCCGCAAGGATGGCAGCATTTTCAAGATAATGTGGGCGGTAGGAACATGATGGAAGTTACCTAGAATGGAATAAAACCAAATTGCTACCTGACGACCGTCATTTAATTTACATATTCAAGAAATATGACAACAACGAGCGACTGTTTGTCTATAAACGTGTCAGGAGAGGGAGACATGAACACCCCCTAATGCTGGTGGCCCTGCGCAAATTTTCATGATTGGGGTTGTGGTAAGGTCAGGGTCAATTGCAAGACTAAGGTTAAGATTTAAGTTACCGTTAGGACACGGGAGTTGGCACACTTCCCGGAATTTAGCGAAAAGCCATCTGTAACTGTCGCCGTAATGGTTTTGGCAAACCTCAAAAGTTGAACTTGAGCGTGAAAATGCACATAAATTTTCTGGCATCTTAAGATGTGTGACGTAGCGTCTGTTACCACGTAATGCAATTCGTAGTCCATTATGCTCACGAAACAGCAGCGTGTATACTTATATCTCCTTATAATGCCAACAAAAGTAGAATTTGACCACATTTCTGAAGTTTATAAACGACGAATTTGTAAGTCACTTAATGATAAAGTAGGAAATATCTGGCTATACGGAAAAAGCAAAATAAGGATTTTGTACAACAAAGGACATTTACAATAGTCCCTTCAAACCGGCGCTGTGTCACTGTTATTCGTTCATCGCTGCCTACATTTGGTGAGTGAGTATCCTGCATCAACTTTCCACTCTGTACCATCCTAACCGTTTTGTAAAACTCGCCGTTTTAACATCCTAAATAAAGCAGTATTCTGACTGCATTTCATGTAGAGCCAAAGAGTTTACTCTAGCCACGCCAACTAAACCATGAAGGGAGTCAGCAAGGCACCCGTAGGAAAAGATATTTTTAACAAAGAGCAAAATACTTCAGAGTGGCCAAAATCTAAAGCCATTTCCTCTCCTGGTCTCAAACCCCCAGAGACTGCACCAAATGAAATACTCAAAGTTCGAGAATACTTTGCGTAAGCATTCCCACAAAACAACCTGCACGACTGACTTCTGAAATTCAAAGGTTGCCATTGGACCTTCTTGGCACTGTCGCCTGCTTCTGCTGAGAGTTCAGTCAACCCATACAAAAGTATGTTTTCCTGCAAGAAACACTCACACACACACGACACCCTCCCTCCCCCTGTGCCGTACATTTAAATTTCCAATCTTCTAATTATACAGGTGCGGCGGGCAGGCCGCGGAAAGGAGTCGTCGCCAACATTATGCAATACACTACTTTACCTCGTCCTCCTTCTGCCCTCCCCACCCCCTCTTTCATTCTCTGAGGGTAATTAGCTAAGCTGGTCTGCTCTTTATGCGCCCCCTGATTGTAGCGGTGGGGACTGACCGACCGCTCATCAGAGACCGAAGGACAAAGAGAAGTTAATTTACATAGGAAGTTGGAGGCTGGAAAGTTTACAGCTTCCACGCATGGCTGGGTGAGTAAGAGTCAGTCGCCGCTGCCGCCGCCCCCACCTCTCCCCTGAAAGTGCGCAAACCGCGCACAGACAGCAACCGCCCACCTTGATGTCCAACTGCCACACCAAAATTCATTAAGATCTGCCTAGAGGTCACTGTAGTAAACATACATCGGAGTGGGTTAATAAAATACGAAACTGTGCCGGCAGAAGTGGAGGCTAGATGATCCCACGGGAATGCCTGAGAAGACGAATGTCAACTTTTGAAAAAATTTTCAAATTAAATACAGATGTGCTGAAGGGAACGGGACTTAAGTGAAGTATTGATATTCCCAAAAATGTATGGGGGTTTTGGTAGTGCAAACAAAATTATCAATTATTTGCTGTGTTTCCCAATGTGTTCCGGTCAAAGCGTTTCAAGAGGCCAATTTTAGGGGGATATTTCCTTACATTTTAAATCAACAAGTTAGATTTTAAAAGACAGGCTATGAGTTTTCTTGAAGCCTGGGAGTGCACCCTAAAGCTTCTCCCTGCTTGAAGCCAGAAAAGTAACCCGTATCTATCAAACTCACGATTTCTCAAGTAGCCCAATGGCTATAATTAAGCTTTTCAACTTCCTCAACCGATACATTGATAAATGCGACCACATGTTGCTGTCCCCTCCTAATTTTACCATAACCATCAGAACAAAAGCCCAAAATTCTTTCGCAAGGTGTCTCTACACAGGAATGTCCGCAAAGTCCGGGCACTGTTTCGGCGCTTTCTGCAGTAGCGCAGGAGAACCTCAAAGGACTCGCTAGTCACTGATTTTGCCGATCTCGTCCCTCCAATGCGGTTAACACTAGTTGCATGAGAACAGCAAGAGGGTTGTCTAGCCCAAAAACAACACTAATGCTGTCTAGACTTTAAATGGCGAGCAGTATTCGCATATTATGCTTCACCTGACAGATTGGCGTCAATTCCAAGCGGGTTAAATCAAGGTGTCGCAATAAACTCAGATGAGGTTGCAAAATTTCGTTTCATCAGAAATCCGACAGAGGTCTCATCTGACTCCTGCTTGAATAATAGGACTTGCTGCAAATAATGCTTTGCTAAAACGTTATTTCAAAGAGCTTCGCATGGTTGATGGAGTGCTTTTGCGTATAGTAAGTATGCACTAATGGCAGAAAAAGTGGTTCTCGAGTTCTAAAGGGATATAATGCGAGGGGCCTAAACATTGCTTGCGCACTCAATGTACTCATCTTGCCCAAGTTGTTTTGGACACACCAGAGCGGCTCGACGTCAGCTGTTTTTGCCTCGTACATTTTCGTCTTCACTGTGAGTGCTACCCTGGATGCATGAACCCCGAAACGCTCTTAGAAGAGATTTCCTTAAGAAATTTCTTTAAGAGATTTCTTAAGAAAGATTTCCTATGGAGTTAATTCAAGCTCTTTTTATAGACAACTCGACTGCCTAAGGTATAAATGGTTTCCTGCCTTCCTTCTGTGTTATTTGTCCAACAGATTGTGGAAACGTTTTAATGACAATTTCCTGAGTAGTCGGATGGGCATTTATCCACGGAAAATAGGTTTATTTGTGTTTCTACCGGAATGCAGACGGAGTGGCTATGCCGTCGCACCCTGATGATGGATTCCGAAGTGAATCAAAATCTTTGGACAGGCAAAACTCTTCTTCCAACTGCCTTCTGGAATTCTCACTTTATCGACAATTACTTCGGTATATTTAGTGAAAACGAAAAATTTTTAAAACATCGAATGCACTTCCACCGTATTTTTTGAGGACATAGTAGGTGTTCATAGTTTTACTATTTTGTGTCGAAACGCCTCTTTCTCTCCGAGCATCAGCGATCATGATTCGACCAGGGATATTTTTCAGAGTCGAGATTCTCGTTTTAAATCCTCTCGTCAGTTGGTGTTCGAGGGTTTTTAGCCCTCCAGCCCTCGAGATGTGTGTCCCCGTTCTGCCAACCGAGACTGGGCATATTCAGTCACGTGTGCTCATTTGCTCTTATTTCAAAATGGAAATAGGCATTTCCGTCTTATCTTGAGATTCGGAGACTATAGCTCACTTAGGAGATAATGTACCACCTATCAAGAAGTACTTATTTGGACCCAACTGTGAAAGACTCGGCGACCTCGGTGCCGTTCGAACCCAGATGACTATCGCTATCGGCGAGATTTTCACGGTTGGGTCAAAAGAAATTATTCAAAATCTTCCAAGACGCCTATTAATTGCGTGAGTCTGGTAGTCATCTGGTGAATTTTAGATGGATTACTTAGGAAATCCTGCTTGGGCAGTCTGTTTACTATATCACATTTGGTGGTGGATTTCAGACGTTGCAGTTGGCTGGGTAGGTAACTTGACCCCATCGTGATTAAGCCCACCACCCTCGATTAGGCTTTATATCTCAGACGGATGGAGCGTTAGCTGTACAAAGCCTTCCCATTGTTATCGTGGGTCCGAATCCCACCGACGCCGCAGAGTTATTCACAGTTGGGTCAAAATAAATTATCTAAAATCTGCCAAAACACCTATTAACAGGAAGTAATCGAAAGACGTTAACAATAAAGACAAGGACCAATGGAATTGTCACTTATTTGCTGTCATCGACCAGAAGTCTTCATGGCAGCATTGCCTGGGACTGTCAGCAACTTGTCTAAATGCACGAATCTTCTGATCCAGTGGGTATCGAACTTAAATCCTTATTGGCTACATCATCGGACGCACTCTGCTTAATTTAAGTAAAAAACGCTGAAATCTCTTTTTGCCTTCTCCTCTGCCTGTAAATATGAATCGGGAACAGCATGTAAGTGAGAATACGACTCGTGCATTATCCGAGGTGATTTTAGTTGCATATGTTTCTTCCTGTCCAGGTTGGCTTCATGCTAAAACTTCCGGAGTCAAAGTGGTTGCAAGACGTTTCAGATTAGAATGGACTGAAAATGGCTACTTCCTCTTTATTCACTTTTCTGCCTACCTCTAAAAGCTTGCAATTCTACCGAATCGACGAACGCGAACTTTGAAATTCATTATAGTCTGTCGCGGCAAGATCATCTTCACTTGCTGCTAAGCACTTAAGCACACCCGTGCTGTGGAGTGCGTAGATGCGTGTAGTGCTTTCGTTTAACAGTACATTTTCATTTGTTTCACAAAAGCTAAAGCCTGTCGATGCGCGTGGGGTTTCGGGAGGAATAATGCAGTGCATGCATGAACTCTAATACTTAGGTTCTTATTTAAAGAACTCTAGTGCTTTGGATACGCGAGATCGCGACATTCGCAATGCGCTCCAGACTACGGTTACCGCTGTCGGTTGACATGCTTTATCTGTCAGAAATATCACGCAACCGCACCAGCGAACGATAGAGCAGTGGTTTAACTCCACACCCCCGCGTCCTCTTCCTCTTCCTAATC